GGGATTTAGCTCAGTGGCAAAAGCGCCTGCCTGGCAAGCGCAAGGTCATGAGTTCGGTTCCCGGTACCGGAGAAAAACCAAAAAAAAAAAATACTTTTGAAAGATTTTTCTAATTTTCAGTCTCAGCTTCAGTATTTATTTTCTCACCTTGAATGCTTAGTTCTTCTCAGACATCTAACACTTCATGGTTTCAATTTACTGTTAACATTATATGAAAAATCAAAGTTTAATAACATAGTTTCCTACATGCTTTCATTCGTTTCATACTTATTTATAATTTTAGCAAATTAAATTTCCAGCAAATTTACCGCTCAAAGTTTTGCTTAAATTTTGAATTGATTTTCAAATTCTTCATGTCATCTAGATACTGATGTAACAAGATGCTTCTTCCTTGTATTTCTTATTTTTTCATATTGAGCAGTTCTAATGTCTTCAGTATTCAAACATCAGTTTTTATGGTTTTTTGGGTTTTCACTTTGCTTATAAAAACCTTTCCTCTTCCAAAATTACAAAAAGTTAATATTTTTTCCTTTTTATTTACTAATAAGATTTAAAATTCATTTATCTCATGGAAATATTTAAGATCTTCTATAGATCTAAAATATTTTGGATGTTCTTGTATTTAGCTTTCTTTCTCCTCGGTAGCACTGGCTTCCCTAGACCTTGTGGTGGATTGAACAATAACCCACTTGTTTTTCCATTCATCTTAATGCAAGGTTGCCAACATTCCCAGATGATCCCGTGGGTTGTTGCTGTTGTTTTCATCTCACTTCTTGGTGCCTGTTTTATTGCAAGTTGCTTGGGTAAGTTCTTGATAAAAGTGGAACTCTTCTTGAATTATTTCCCTACCAACCTTTATAAAGTTGCTCTAAGTTTTTTTCTGTATCAACTTTTCCTTCAATGTATAATGAGTTCTATGTCTTGCATTTAAATTTAGACTTATATACTGGGCCTCCCATTCTTTGATCATGGTATGTCGTGTTAAGGAATGAAAAGACCATTTTATGAACATGTAAACATTAGTGTATATAATAAATTATTTCTGATTTTTCACAGGGATTATAAAAAGCAAGATGTAAATGGAAAAAATCCAGGTTCCTGATGCACCCACTATGAAAAGAAAAATACTGTTGGAAGACTAGTTATTTCATCTTTAAAAATAATTTGAGGCATAACTGACAAAGAGTTATAAATATTTAGTGCGTACATCTCAAGTTAGGGGTTAAGTACAAATAAAAAAACCACCACCACCATCAAAGTTGTAGGAAGACTTGTTTTTCATGCTATCAAGACCTAAAATAAGGTTATTATAATTAAAGTTACATGGTATAGGCATAAGAAAAATAGAGTAGAGGAAAAAATACAGAACTTATTTACAAATTCATATAAAACAGAAGAGACTATTTCAGAGTTATGAGAAAACAGTTTTCTTCAATCAAATCTTTAGAGCCTATTGATTATCTATACTTAAGAAGTGAAATTGAGCTACTGCATTTGTACAACGTACAAATACCAACTCGAGGTTGATTATTGGTCAAAGTATAAAAAGTGAATCCAAATTTTAAAAAGATAGACACTCTCTTCATGATAAGATGTACAAAATGGTTTCTTAAACAAGTGAAATGCATTAGAAAATAAAGAAATCATTGAAAATTTATATCACATTAAAGTAAGTTATTATATAACAAAAGATACCACAGTGAAAGCAGAAACTTATGAGATAATATTTAAATGATTAAAAAATAGTATGAAGGATGTATAAAAATCTTTCAAATAAGTAGGAGATATATTGACAATGAAATAGAAAATGGATGAAGTTTTAAATACATTGTACAGAAAAAGAAAGTAAAAGTTTAGAGTGTCAACCTCATTACTTATCAAGGAAAAGTGAATGTAATTCATATTGAGATACCATTGCAAACATGCCTGGGTGTCATGCCATGTATGGCAATCAGTCAAATATCTGGTGCTTCTGAATATTGTTGTTGCTTTGGAAAATGGACCTCTAATGAATTGCTGCTTGTAGGTGTGTATAGCAATATCAAACATTTTGGAAAAGTTTACCACTGTCATAGTTTCAACTTGTACACTCTCTTGCCAACAATTCTGCTCCTAAGTATATACCCCACAGACTGCATTAAAGTGCTCAGAATAGCACAGTTCATATTAGCCAAACACTAGACACATTGGACATATCTGCTAAAAGTAGATCTATATTGTCATGGGGAAAATGACTCCCAATCTGTTAGACACCAGATGGTAATTCATGGTTTCACAATAGCGAGGAATGAAATTGTGAACCAAAGGAGGAAGTTAAGAGTGTTTTATTGGGAAGAATAGCTCCTGGATTTTCAGTGATGTTCCAAGTCTGTGGCCACTGAGGCTCTTTGTCAAAGATAATTTATATGGAAAAATCACCAAATGGGTACAACATGGGTCAACATATAATCAACCAGTAGGATTACAGGTATAGTCCCTTAGCTAATATTGATCCAGTGGGGAAGCAAGGCATGTAGGCAAGCCTCATTAAATTTAGCTTATCTACAATTTCTAGTCATAGGAAGAGCAAAGATATTCCTGGAAAAGAGTGGGAGTTTGAGCCCAGATGTTCTGGTCACCATGTGTCTGATATCTATGTGGGCTCACCGGACCATGTGGTGCTAATTACAGTGTAATCTCAAGTTGCTGTGCATCAGTAGGAAGGTTTGCATGTGACTTCTTTGAGGGCCCAATCTCTCTCTGTCTGTTAAGTTCTGTCTAACTTAGTTGTCTATAATAATATGTTTCATTTTGTGAAGAAAATAGATCACTTTACAGCAGTGAAAATATGAATTATATATATATATCTAAATGCATACAGTGTTGGACAGGAAAGAGAACAAAAGGAGTACATACTCTATGATTTCGTTTATAGAAAACTCAAAAGCAGGCAAATCTGATGTATGTGGTTTGGGGATATATCATTAAGTCATAATGTCATGAAGCAAAGGACAAGGTGAATATATTAAAAGCACATACTAGTTGCTTGTAAAGGAAAAGTGGAGTGTATCCGATGTATGCGAGTCACCAGGGCTGTTGGCAGTGTTCTGTTTCTTGAACCAGCAATTGTTACTTAGAGTGTTTATATTACAAAGTTTATTATACTACATTCATATTTTTCTTTATTTTTACATTTAGGTATATTAAAAAGTAAAAACTTAATACATAGATAAGGCTCATAAAACTTTGTTGAACTAACTCGGTGATCACCAAAACATCTCCATTCTAGATTTTGACCAAAAAAAAAACTTTAAAATCACATGTATCTAAAAGTTTGTAAACATCCCATATAAAGCCCCAAATAGACAATATGAAATAAAAATATTAGTTTTCAAAAATGTGTTTTACCTGGAACTGGAGCAAAGAACTACATAGGAAGAGAAGAGAATGTGAAGGACTTAATAAACAGGGTGAAAATAAAGTTGAAAGGCTGGCCTCCCTTCCCCTGTTAAGTGGTTATGCAAGAAAATGAATCTAACCTTCTTTTCCTTCTTCACAGTGACTCATCACAATTTTCGGTGCTTTAGAAGAGAAACAAAAGCATGTAAGCTGCCAGCGTACCACAAGAAGGTGACATGCATCCAAGAAGCATCAGGACAGAAAGGTACAGCCCGTTGAGAGCATAACAGAATTAATCTCCATTTCCATCCAAATTCATAATTCAATGTAAAGAATATCGGTGGTGAACCAGGGAAGAAAAATATAGCCCAAAGCCAAATTTGGCACAGGAATAACACCTCGAGAGTACTTGGGGAATATAACTTAACACTTTTCTAGGCTATTTTTCACATCCAAAGCATAACCTGAACTTAATTCTGTTTTCCCAATATGTAATGATATATAGCTTTGCTGAGATGTCTTTATCTCTTTTATTATTCTGGAAGTTGTAAAGTAGTCTCATTTGGGAGAATGCAGAAATGTTGAGCCTTAGCAGATTCTTTGCCTCCTTCAGATAAATTGTCCTGCAAGAGGCGTTGTTAAAGAAACACTTTATCAATGAAAGCAAATAAATGTGGACATTGAATAATGATCATGTTTTTTTAAGTGAATGCTTCATAATTCTTCACAGTTCTTACGTGATTTCAGATACTTCTGTTTAGAGTATACTTAGAAATAAACTTTTAGGACATCTTTAGTGGGTGGGAGACAATGATTTTGGTAATGCTGTTATTATTTTCATAAGTGTTAACTGAATATTGAGTAATAGAATTGTTATGTGAACCTTCACAGATGTAATGTGCTTTCTTAACTGCATAATTTCCATTTCAATCTTTCCCTAAGGAGGTACTTGGATTTGCTGTCCTGTTGGTTGGAGAGTCTTCCAGTCCAACTGCTATTTTCCCTTCCATGACAACAAGACCTGGGCTGAGAGTGAGAGGAACTGCTCCGGAATGGGGGCCCACCTGGCAAGCATCGTCTCTGAAGCAGAGCAGGCGAGCTGGCGGGGCCTCCTGTGTCTCTGCTGCTTTGAAACTCTGTGAGGAGAGAGAATTTCTTTCCTCTACTGAGCCTCTGTGCCTCTCTTTCATCTGTGCCCTTGGGAGCCTTTTCTTCCTCTTCCATTTTTCTTTTCCTTCCTTCTCATTCTCTCTCCTCCCATTTTTTGTCCTCCTTTTTTTTTCATTTTCGATAGTGTTTTTCATAGCAACAAAACCCAATATACATTGTAGTATAATCTACCAATTCTCTGGTAGCAGAAGCATACATAGAAATGAATTATACAGCAAAATTCATATTTTGTATGTAAAAGCAAACATACTTTATAGGTTAGAAAATTAATTACCTATATATTACTAAATTCTTATGATCTATCCAGATTTTGTTCATGTGTTATTTCTTCCAGAAAACTATCCCAACCACCTTCCCCATTCTCTAACTTCCCTATTCTAAGTTATAGTACTGCTGTGGCTCTTTCCCCACAGAGAAATCGTGGCATTTACTCTTTGCTATGGCAGCTCTTACAGTGACTGGGGCGATGCTTTGCTCATCTTTCTATTGTCAGTGTCTTGTGCAGAGCCAGTCACACTGAATAGGGTGTGATAACTGTTTCATGAATATGTGAGTAAATAGCTTCTCAGAATTAAGTATGAAAAAACAGTTCAAATGTATGGTTCCATTTCTAAATATGGAATCCTAAAGGTAACTTCAATTCATCAAAAGCTGAAATTTCTCTCTTCATGTGAAATTCTTCCATATCATCTACATCATGACTTAGAACCTATTCTTTTTGTGCTTAACAGGATGTCCTCAAGAACTCTTATTTCCAAGGCTTTGCTGTCTATATATTTGCTGACTTTTCAAATAAAGCACAATTTAATGAAATATACAAATAGTTAAAGGCAATCTAAAACACAAAAGCCCCTTTAAAATGTCATCCTTTTAAGCATGTGCTAAGAGAGTTGCAAGTATTAGATCACTTAGTGTTCACCATAACTCTAAGAAGTAGTTGTGTTATACTTTCTGGAGATGAGAAAACTGAGGATTTGGTGAGATAAAAGCACTAATTAACATTAAAAGCAATCTTTGAAAGCAGACCTAATCCCAAAGCTTTGGAGCTTAAGCAATAATCTATAGGTCTTATTTCCTCTTTTTCAGTGTAATAACCATCACCTAGGTGCAAATATGCTTATAAAACTTTATGTTTTGGATGCAGAACTTCACAACTAAGATTTTGAATGAATTATTTCTGTACTTCGTTGGACTTAAAAGTGAAAACGGGAGAGGTCAGTGGCACTGGATAGATCAGACACCATTTAACCCACACATACAGTGAGTATATTGATTGAGACTAAGAGAATTTGTTAGTGCATATAGGTAAAGGTAGCAAGAATTCATTAAGACTCAGGTAACCTGTTGGTATTATATCCCAATTGTATAATACTCTTATGACTTCGGAGAAATTTTCAGTATTCTTGTTTGTACAATTTTGATTAAAGAATGGATAGCATAGGCGTGATGTGCAAAAATATTCTTAAACTTGATATTTGGGTAAACAACATGATAAATGTTAAAATTATATTTGAAACACAGTTATAACCTTGCCATTTTCTTCCTTCAAACCAATATTATGTAATATAAACATAATTTAAAACTATAAATGTAATTAATATTTTTACCAGAGAGGTGAAATTTATATTGATGATGTACAACATAAAACTATTGATGTGATTTACTTCTTTTTCTGTGTTATCATCAGAGTATAGTGTGGCTTTAGCACTTACGGTGCACCTCAGTACAGTACAAAATAGTCACATGCTGTCAGTGACTCTTGTATTGGACAGTGCTTCTCTGAATTTTTCATAGGAACATTTTCTCAGGACTGTCCCTGATAACTACGTCCATCTATACCTACATCTATTCCTGTATATTTCTATGTCGATTTATAATCTATGCATATGTATATTATTTCTTATAGATTTTGGCATGTTATATTTCCTTTCAGATTTTGGCTTAAAAAAAACCTCAAGAATGTTCATAACGAAGATTGCGCTGTCCTTATTAATGACAGAGCTATATGGAGCTGGAGTGATTTTCCTTGTAATGTGAAGACAAGTAGGATTTGTAAGCTACCTGGAATAGAACTCATGTAGGAATCTCCAAGGTGGCCTCCCTGATGGAGACAGAAAAGAACCAATGAGATGACGGCCTGTACATCCATCACTGAAATAGAGAAAAGATATGGTGCTATTGTGTATTTTCAGTCATACGGCTTTGGTGTCATTGTGTGTTGAAGATAACATAGTTTTGAATGGAGTTTTGATAGAAAAAATGTTATGTGTGAATGAATTTTACTTATCTTTGCTGTCTTGGTAGTAGTGCAAGGTATTTACTTTTCAGTTGATTTGTATTGATTTCATATCTAGCACAATGGCTGGAATAATACAATCTGTTTGTCATTCCTCTCATGCTCAAATTCTTAATTCTTAAAATACAAGGGTAGGATATTCTAACTGGTAGTGCTGAGTCATATTGAACCTAAATTTTTAAAAATTTTAAAATTATTTTACAAATATATTTTTAATGTTTGATGGTTCATTTCCAAAATTTTAAACATGTCATTATGCTGACATTCTGAGATAAGATATTTTTCCAGAGCAATATTCTAGATTATTTCTAAATTATTGGATTACATGGGGAAATAAAAAGGATTACTTCATACTCTATTCTAAATGTCTCTTTAAAGCAGATAGTCTTTTCTGTTTTAGCAATGTGTTTTATGAAGCAGAATTAACTTTAATCTTGAGAACTAAACTTGAACTGTGATTATACAGAGGAAGTATGGACATAATTTTTGGATACAGACTAAAACTACAGTACTTATGGAAAAGATAGTCTTAAGGTGGTAGTTTAATTTCTTTTTCAGTGGAAATGTGCATTACAGGCCCCTGGAAATTAACTCCAACTATGTAACTGGGGAAACAAATTCCCTGGGAAACTGATGGACTCACTCCCATGCTGCTTGTGATTCACACAGCTATGGCTACATCCACCCTTCACTAGTGATGAATGTATCCCCTTTGGAATTGTAAGAAGGTTTATGAGGCTATCTCAGCCTCTTCATTATGAACTAAAAGTTCTAAATCATTTGAAGTTGCACTTTATTGGTATTTTCATTTGTAATGTGAATTAGACTCACATTTTTAACCCCTTTATATGTTGTAAAAGTCACATCCAATATCAAAATATGTTAGTCTTTCTTAAAATTTTGCTGATGTCTCTTCAGTCTAAGATTAAAAATCTTGAACAGCAGCTTTGTAAACTAACTTGTCAACCATTATTTTTTTAAAACCTTAACATTTGTTTTGAAACACAGTTATTGATTTTCTGTTTCGAGACTCACTGTTTGATTATCTGTGGTGCTGTGTGATGATAATAATGATGGTGATGTGTATGTGTGTGTACTTAAAACCTACACTGAAAGCAGATACTTTGAAGTGTTGCTAAGTAACTGAATTTTGCGTATTCACTTAAGTATAAAACACAAAACTTGTTGAAATAACTTTGTATATGTTCAAATAGGGTTTGTGTAATTAATATTCATTTTTATCTCATATAAAGCTGTATACAGATAGAGATTCTGTTGTCAATAAAATGTGATCTCTATGTAATTTCATTCGTCTGTGCCCACATTCATATCTGTAATTAGTTTTCCCCTTATTGGCCATGTTTCACCACCTCCAACACCATGACCATCCCCAAGCTGCTATCTCTATCACCTGGGCTAGTGAGATAGCCCTTCCATTGGTCTCCTGTTTGCACCTTAAGTCTCTTTTCATCTCTTTTCAACTGTCACAGTTTTTTTTTATTCCTTCTGAATTCTTTAAGAAAGCTGATAATGATTTAATGAAAATGGATTCTAGTTATTTTAGTAATTTATACTAGCCTTAAAGCTTAATAGCTAAAGAACTTTACAGGATGTTTTTATTTTTTGAAAAAGTAATGTATATATGTGCTTTAAAACCAAACAATAAATACACTGATAAATTTATGAAGCATATCT